GATTGTTGCATGAATTTAGATGCATCACCACCAAATACTTGTACATAGACACATGTCGTGAATTCGCGACAGTTGTTCACAGCTGCCACGAAGACTGCTCCCATGGATTTCTTTTTATCCAATGCCACTCCTCGTCCGCGTCCGATCAAACTTTGTGCGGCTGGGATGAAGCCAGTTCTTTGGTGCCAGGCGGTTAATATGGGCCGTTGGGCCGCGATTCGCGTTTTCACGGTAGATAGGGCCCGTGAGGATATTTGGATGTGGTCTCGGATCGTCAGATCGGCCCAGTAATTGGATCGCAAGCAAATCCCAACGGCTCCTGTCGTTATCGTCGTCGTCCCTCACGCGGTCTCTATCCATCCATGCATGGGGTGCGGACTGGAACCACCTGTCCGCCTCCGCCCGCTCCTCTCGCCACCCGGGGCTATAAATCGCTAGCAGATCCGGAGCGCGCACCCACTTCGATCCAAACCCAGACGACTCGTCCCTCAGATAATCCGTCCCGTTCCGTTCGTCGTCGCATACGTACCGGCCGGCAGCAACCGCCCGATCCGCCCGATCGACCGGCGGCGCGGCGCCCGATGGAGACGTCGACGGCGGCGATGATGATGGACCACCAGCACCGCGCGGCGCCGTCGCTGTCGGCGGAGGAGAAGCGGCGGATCGAGCGGGTGGCGCGGTGCGTGGCGCGGGACCGGGACGGCGGAGACCTCACGGAGAAGCTGCTGCTGCGCCTGCTCGGCCTCACGCGCAACGCCCGCCGCTGGGGGTTCCTCGCGCCGGACCACCCGCTCCACCCCTACTACCTCCAGCAGAAGGTCTCCGAGCGCTGCCGCATCCTCCGCCCGCGGCACGCCGCTGCCACTACCGCCGACCGGTGATCCCCCATCCGTTCTCCTACCTACCTGCCTACCGGCGCATGCATGCGCATTGCATGCGGACGTGCAGCCGTATCGACCATTGATAGGACTTAGCCATTATACGCGCATCACCTGCCTCTTCCTCTCTTTTACGCTGCCGATTCGTTTTGTTAATCGGAGCATCTTGTATTAATTGTTAGGGATGATATGGAAAATTGAGAATCGAATTGAAGAAGCATGCAACAGATTGGGAAATACATTGATGTTCCTAATTGCAGCAATTACGAAAGCAGCTACCAATTGATAGTTTTTCAGATTTGAGATCGAAATATTTATGTGCCGATGTGCCTATACTTATATTTATATCCATGTCGTTTATATATATACATGTTATAAGGGATGTAAGTGAGTTTGGTCTTGAGAGCCACATATATACTCGTATATATCCATTTAATCCATCTGAGAGCCACACATATACTCGTATATCCATTTTAATCCATGTGTCTTTTGGGTGGATTGAAATGGATAATTAATTGATTTTTATCCTAATCCACCCTAATTAAGTCCTCAACACATGTGGAATGCGGTGGTGGATATGAGAACCCACCTAAAACATCATGTATGTAGTTTTAGAACCAATCAACTTACATCTCTATTTAGAGTTAGGGAAATTTAAACCTAATTCACTACTTCACCCTCTCTTTTTTACAGTTTGTTGGAAGTCAAACATTTTATAACTTTCATCATCAATTTCAGAAAATCCATATAGCTTGACAACGTATGAATTATATATTATGAAAATATTTCTCATAGTGAATCTAAAACATATATATCTTATGTTGTAATTAACACATACCGATTTTTTTCAAATTAATGGTCAAAGATAGAAATGTTTGACTTAGGACAAAACTAATGACATATAAACGAAATCAGTCTTTAAACAAAAGCGAAATCAGCTGGCAAAAGGCAGAACAAAATATTGAGAAAAATAAGGATAAAGTGCAAAGTCCAACAAGTACCAAGCCTACAGCTTATACATGGAGATAAATCCAGAACATGAAATTTTGCATCAAATCAATTTCCACCGCCCATGTAAACTGCAAATTGGATGGTGGATCCCTTGCCAATGTTGCAATCCGCAATCGTGCTCGAGTCCGGAAGCCTGTTCCCGTATACCAACTGATATGGATAGCCCGCTGGAAGTTGTGGTCCTGCTTTCTCATCGAGCTTGTGCTTCACAGTGGCAATGGTGTCACCATTCTCAACATCCAGTGTTATAGTCTTACCCGTGTGCAGCTTCACAAAGATCTGAAAATGGTTTTGCTGGGGCCTCGGCGAAAGTTTGAACTTATCCTCCAGCTTGCTCTTGAAAACGTCCGTCAGAGCCGTCTTGGAAGTCAAGCAGGCTGCTCTCAGCAGATCGACAGCCTGCGAGATATACATCGACGGTAACAGCAAAGTGAGCCCTCCACGAATGGTATAGTAACTGAAAGGATATAAAGAAAGCAGCTTACCTCTTGCTTACTGATTTCAATGTCCATCTCCAACAACCTATCTTTTCCGTTGTTACACCAGTGCTTCATAACCACCATTGCTGAAGCCTGGTAGATAAGTAAATCGTCATCTACAATGTATGTTGCGTCCTTGACAAACTGCGGGCAAGTGCAGTTCTCATGCCTGCGACAGCCGCAAGAGGGAACACGGCATAGGCAGAACCACCTTGTGACATTAGAACCAGAGTGACTTAAAGGGTTCATGCTGGGGTCAAGCAACGTCTCTCTAGTATAGTAGGCACCGGCACCTCCTAGCGCGCTATTCGCGTCTAGATCAATAACACTGCCGTAGAGATTGTCCAAACTTCATCCGAGATGAGAAGTTCCTGCAAGGTTCTTGGTCACACAAGCCACTGGGTAAACCAAGAAACTGAGGAGCAGGTCCACAAACTCATGCTTGCATTCAGCGTACATGACTTTCTTTTCGTGCCTGTCGTAGAACACCTTTGATGCTAAACTGTGGTGAAGCATCAGTTTCTTCATCGGTCGGATGCTGAATATAATTTGGAGGAATGTCCAACTTTACAGTCGTGCGAACTTCAGTTTTCTTGGATAGGAAGGTATCAGTGAATACAGTCTTCGATGAAAAAGAGGCCTTCAACATAGATACAACCTATTTGACAGAAGTCCAGATTACAATTAATCAAAACAATGCCATTTAGTCAGTGCTTTACAACTTACTCTGCCCGGTCAAAAATACTTGCTTACCTCCGTCCAGCCTATACACACTTCAATCTGCTCAAATCTGTGGTCAATCGTGCCAGAATCGATTCTCTGAAACAGCAAGAGTGTATTGGCAGTGGATGCTGTCTTGATCACTAAGTCGTCACTGATCACAAACCGCAGGTTTCCGCTGACGAATTTCCCCGCGCCTTCTTTTCGGCTGAACACATGCGCCACTCTGGCCATGACTTGCCCACACCTGCAGTCCGAGCCGTGCCCCTGTAGACTCGGCTCACTCCTGACGATAGTAAGGTACCAGTTGCACGCATATTTCCTGTGCCTGGGGCACCAAATACGACTTTTTTTTGATTGAATTAGATACGTCAGGGCCAGTTTGGATATACTAGAATGCAACAGAGACAGCGGGGATGAGATAACCAACCTGAACTCATCATCATATCGAGGATGGAGAAGCATGTCGTGGCACGCGTGGAACCTCAGCAGCTTGCTTTCACTGAGGCAGCTCACGCCCTGGCTGAGCGTCGAGAGGCAGCCCAATCTGCGAATACATGATTTGCAGGCAGCCCAATCGCCTTGTCCACGGCGACCTTGATTTTGATGCCGCCGTCGGCCATGGCTTCACCCCCTCGCCGGGGAAAAATAGCCCATTTGGATGAGAACCGACGGTGTGCCCAGAGCTAGATACTAGGCCTGGTTAATCAATGACCGGAAGAACGCATCTCATCGAGATGCCACGCGACCACCTTCTCCATTTTTTTTGAGTGCACAGGCTCTCTCTCTCTTCGTCCTCTCGACGTTTCGTTAGTGGGCCATGATTTCTCAGCCCAATCTGCGAAAAATAGCCCATTTGGCCAATCCCCAGAGCTGGGCCTGGCCCACTCTCTGCTCTCCACCACCATTTCCCCCCGGACCTCTCCTCCTCATCCTCCTCCTGCTTCCCCGTCCGGACAATCGAAGGCCTCCCCGGTAAGCCCCCCGATGACCCAACCCACCTCGCCGCTCTGAACCCGCGAGCGGTTCATTTGATTCCGCCCCCAGTCGTCCTTGCATGTCCCCATGATTGCGCCAAACGTCTCGTCGTGTTTGATCTCATTATAGGGACGTGATTAATCGCGATTCTGCTGTCTCCTTGGGGGTTCCGGACGCATGTGGCCATGGAATTCCGTTCCTCGTGCGCGATTAGGTTGAGACGTCGTGATCTTCATGCGACCGCTGTACAAACCCGTGATCCTAATTGGTAGTGTTGTCGATGTCAGTATCGTCGCATAATCGTGGCTTATAGAATAGATAGACAGGGACAACAAAGGTAAAGCGGCGAAAGCAGTCATGAGCGCGGTCTTTCTCTATCATTAATTATCTTTTTTTCTCAACTGTTTAGGACCCGGTGGGTCCCGAAATACCCCCTCTAGTCAACTAACACGACTTCAAGTTTTTGTGGTTGCCTTTTGACAATTCTTAGTTTCTCGACTCCCGGAATTCCAATCATTTCTAGTTGGTTAATTTTGTCTGCTTCTTGCAGTGAATTTGCTAACTCTGCCCCAACTTTGTTGCTAGTGCAGATGGATCCATTGGAAATGCAGGACGACTCAAAGAAATCCAATAAGCCCAAATGTATTTGCCCCTGCCCCCTTTTTTATTTCGTTTGTCTTGCAAATGTATGCTGTGTTGTCCGAGGATATTTCAGGGTTTAATATTATTTGTATAAAATGGTGAGTGCAACATAATCTGTACATAAGACTCGGCCCCTTCCTATGTGCAGATTCTAAGTTTACGCAGCAGGAGCTTCCAGCATGCAAACCACTGCTAACACCATCAATTGTAATTAGCTTGCCCTCTCACCACTATTGTTTTGTTTTCAGATGAATGTTTGCTATATTATCAGTTAGACTTATGAGTACCTTTCATGAGCACAGGTCATTTCTACCTTCTTACTGGTTGGCATCCTATTTGTCCCAATTGGTCTGGCATCGCTTTCTGCGTCACAAGAGGTATATCAAAATATGTCTGTACTATGTTTTAAAAAAATATGTTCGTACTACACTTTCCATTTGTTTTTCTATTATCTGCTGCATTTATTTAGTCTGTCACTTGACTGCAATGTAGATTGTGGAGCTGGTACATAGATATGATACAAGTTGTGTGCCCTTGGCTGATAAAGTTGGGTTCATTCAGGACACTAAGACGGACAAATCATGCACAAGAACTCTAACTGTGAGTATGCCAGCAAAAGTTGCCCTTATTTATTGCTTGTGCTCTTAAGATACAATCCTTCATATTTTTATCCAGAAGAATTTGTAGTGAACTAATTGGTTGGTGTATGTCATCTAGGTGCCGAAGCATATGAAGAGCCCAATTCAAATATATTACCAGATCGGTGACTTCTATCAAAACCATCGACGGTACATTCTTGAACCAAATGTTCTATCCAAAAAAACGTAATTGCTTCCAGTTCTTTTTGCATCTAGTACTGCATTAACAGGCATATTGAACCATGATATCGTTGAATTAAATACCATAATGATTTTGTTATGTCTACTGCATTAGAAGGGAGCCACGGACATTGAACTACTATTAATTGACTTTGATGATGTCAGGTCAGTAGGAATTAATTATGCTGACATTCAAACCTTTTTTTTTTGCATTCTTTTGATCTTTTCCAAGGTACGTGAAAAGTCGCAGTGATAAACAATTGTGGTATAAAGATGCTGCACACTTGACAAAAGATTGTGAGCCTGAAGTTTATGGTGCTGATGGTGCTCCAATCGTTCCATGTGGCCTCGTTGCTTGGAGTTTGTTCAATGATACATATACAATTTCAGTCAACAAGAAAGCTATTGAAGTGAATAAAAAGGATATAGCTTGGCAGAGTGACAAGAACAAAAAATTTGGCAGTGATGTTTATCCCAGAAACTTTCAGAACGGAAATCTTATAGGTGGTGCTAAGCTAAATGAGAGCATACCGGTATGTGAGAGAGTTTCTGTGTCTTCAACAGTTAATATTTTCACCATCTCCATTTCATCTATTTTCTTCTAGTTTTGATCTAATTTAAATTATTGTCTTTCCATCTTTATCTGTCAATTGTTTAGTTAAGTGAGCAAGAAGATCTCATTGTTTGGATGAGAACTGCTGCCCTCTCAACTTTCAGAAAGCTCTATGGAAGAATTGAGACAGATATTATGGAAAATGATCAACTCACAGTGGTTATACAGAACAACTATAACACATACAGTTTTGGAGGGTCAAAAGCACTGGTCCTTTCAACTACATCTTGGATTGGAGGCAAAAATAATTTTATTGGTGTCGCATATTTGACTGTTGGTGGTTTTTGCCTTTTTCTTGCACTGCTTTTTGTAGTTCTCTACATGATTAAGCCAAGGTATAATGTATTGTTTCTCTCAGATGCAGATGCATTTTCTATTATATTAGATTAAGTTAAAACTGTTCTTAGTTCTGTGAATGTTGAGACGCAAATACTAGGAGGCCAGCAACATATGTGTTTGCATCTCTTGAACATGCTATATTCTGTTCTAACTTCTGTTTTTTTAATTGAACAAGCTGTCAGTTCTAATATTCACAGTGAGAAAATCACACTTAATTCTTTTCAGGACTCTTGGAGACCCCTCATTCTTGTCATGGAATAGGTGTACCCTGGACTATCCAAACTAATACATTGGAACCTTCTCTTTATAGAAATAGACGAGCACTCTAATGGTAAGTATATTGCACTTGCATGGGTGTGCTATTGACTCCAGAGCCATAATATGGTGCATGGTGGAAAATATATTTGTACTAATTTTACCTGGCAACGTGATATTTGCTATAACACCTTGACTCCATAAGCTTCAAGGACTAGACCTAGGTCAGAGTGGGCTGGTTTGATCAGTTGTTTGGTCGGGTTGTTATTTTTTATTTCTATTTCCCAGGTGATTGTGCTTTGTCATGTACTGTGCAGCAACCCCTCTGCTTTGCCTAGGTGAGTCAGAGTGGTTGCTTGTAAGGGACAGGTTTTTCTTCTCTTTAATATAAAAATAAGCAGCTCTCCTGCATGTTCAAAAATTTTTTTGTAACTTGAATAAAATACAATTATTTACGTCCTATTCTTATTCCACTTCTTATTTTATAGTTCCCCTATTTGTATGACACAAAGATAGTAGCATCCGAGTCCAAGTGGCTTATGTTATTTTTGATGATATGATGTCTTATGAGTTCCAGTTCAATTTTGTTTATCAGCATTTTATACTTGTAACCTAAGTACTTGTGACTAATCACGAGTTGAGCTGTGCAAGCAATTAGTAACTTAGTATCCCATTTTATAAATTTTTAGGACATATCAGTCAAGAAAATACAAATTACAGGCAGATATCATATTGAAAACAATTGTTTGAGTTTCAAATTCCTTCAACATGGATACAGCGGGCTTGGTTTGTAATCACTTATTAAATGATCAACAGACCAACTAGTTGTTGCTGCTCAATATATTTGAAAGAAAGCTCAATATATCTTTCTCGATTGTGTAATCTAATCTTTGCAAATGCTTCTGTCCAGATCAGTCTGTCAGTAACCTAAATGCTTCCATCAACTAGTTGCCACTGTTTGCTAGTACAGTAGCTTGACAACTCGTCGTGTTCATCTGGGTTCATCATTCGCAGGGCAGGATTATAGGCTCCATGGCTGTGGATATGCTCCTAGCGCACATTTCAGGGCCAATCTCTGTGACCCCTTCTTCCTGTGTAATTATAGTTCCACTTATCAACAACCTTGTTCTGGAGACGTCATGAATTAATTAAATGAAAGGAAAAGGTAGCGTAAAGAGAACACAGCTCATGCCTTTGCAAGATTCCTGAAGTAAATTGTTGTGTAGTTCCCTGTTGGGAAGAAAACTTCTATGAGATCTCCAAGAACCAACTGAGGCTGTGAGATAGCTCCATCGTACCAATCTTAAAGGGAAAAAAAGAGTAAATGTCTATGACACCATTTCTTTGAGATGGAAAAATCCATTTGATCATTACATAGGTAAAAGATATGATACTGGAGTTTTAGCAGTAGGATTGCTTCCATTACCAAGTGTCCCAGAAACTCCTATCCTTTTGTCAAATCTCCATATGCTGCGGTTTGATACAAAACTATAGCAGGAGTCGTGGCTAACATTAATGTTCTCCAAAAAAGTGGATAATTTGTACTCTGCAGGCTCCAAAGCATATGTCTGATCAATGACCACGTCCACTGTCTGGAATATTCGTGAACCAAGCTTAGTTAACTGCTACTGAGTGCGGAGTCACTGAAAAATGTGTCAAATAATAGAGCATTTGGGGTTTTGCAGGAATTTTTTATTTGATATACAACCAGTCAAGTTATAAATGTTAATTGTGTCAGGGTCAATCCCTTTTCTGACCAAAAGAGAATGGGTCTTTTGTACATCACATGCAACAGTGAGCTCGGCAACTATTAGCATTACAGGTTTGTAATATTAGATTCTGAATGGTTGATACTCACACAAAGAATAGCATGGAAGTTGTCCATATCCTCTGGATCTGAACTATTAAATCTCTTATTTGTAATAGTTGCATCAACAATTTCTGCTCCTGCATCTGTGACATACTGTTCATGAAACCAAACATGAACATCAGTGGTCCACTTTTTTTTTTTATTTGAGTACTACTCTTTAAGGAGTCTTCAATAGAAAGCGAGACCTTACCTGTAAGGTGTAACTTTCTTTAACAAATGTCCACATTCCCTACAACAGTAGATGGAGAATGCTTAATGATTACTAAGCATGGGTTATTCTAAAAGTTACTTTGAATGAGAAAGTTACAATTTTACCGGTTTGCAGTTGCATACCTGTGTGAATTCAATCCACGCTACTATAGGCTTGAATCTTGTGCTAAGGTTTGCAGCTGCTTTGCTTAAGCACAGGTAGTTTGTCTTTATCTGCAATGACGTACTGGAGAAATGAGACAAATAGTTTGCTAAGTGTGGTTTAATGGCACTGTCCAATGCCATAAAACCATACTTTATTATTACTTATTCATATATGAATTCAAATAAAGATACATTTAGTGGTCTTAACTGCATCATAGACAGCGTTAGCCCTGCCTTCAGAGTTTGTGAAAGTTCCCAAGTACTTGATCCACTCAGCCCTCTGGAGAGAACCATTGAATAGATAGTATATAAGTTTTAGGTTGTCCATAACTAGACAAGTTCCAGATTGAACTCAGGTTTCTTTTATTGCTTTACCTGCAATGGTGTATCCTCTTCTAAGGGTACATATGCTGCGAAGGTGCAACCTCTATCTTCATCTGTATCGCTTATGAAATGTGCAGTAAACTGCGAGAGTGTCTGTGCATCAGTTCTATTCACAAGCTGGGCATTTCCACTTGTATATGATTGGAGCACACACTGAGAAGCAACTTGGTTTGATGTTATTCCTTTCAAGTTTTCTAGCACTCCAAGCAGCTGCATATATGTCAAATGTAGTTATGAGCTCAATAATAAACGTCATAAGCTTAAAGCGTTGACGTCTGCTAGTGTGCCTCGGCTTTTCTGTTTCCTTTGCTGCTCTTGTTTCATTGTGTATGCATACTAGATATTAGTAACAGCCAACTTCAATTTTCTTAGCTTGAAGTTCGGAGTAGATGAGGAATTTAATATTTAGACATTTGTCTGAGTTTTTTCCCCCTTGCAGAAGGACCCATTGCTCATTGGACTACGCTGCAGAGTTTCAGTTTGTGTCCTGCATTGCTCACCTCAAAGAATGACACTGCAATCAAAGGTGGAAACAATATTACTCCGATCAGTTACGGATGTATGTACATACGAGGGGAAGAAAAGGACAAAAAGTGCTTGGGCACACTTGGCAACAAAATGGAGTTGTCATGAATTATCTATTGAATTGAGGAAAGATTCTCTTGTACTGATAAGTACTATATTTTAACTTGCCCTGTTCACTTGGCTTATCAGCAGTACAATGTTTTCTTCTCACGAAGAATCAGCGAACAGTACTTTTCAGTCTGGCTTTTCAGCAAAGCGAAAGCTTCATATTATTGCTGCACTTTTTTGGATAACTTACTGCAGCTTGATATGTTCTAGCTGTACGTTCCCCATTTTTGCAGCATGTGTGTTCAAGGTGGTGTTTGGACAAGTAGTTGCGCCATTTTTCCATTGCTGTGAGCAAGGTGCTTACTGTACAAAGTTGGGAGCATGCAGTAGATGGTGAGGAAGTACCTGGAGAAGACGTGGTGTCGACGGAGAAGTTGGCGAGGGGGATGACGAACGACTTGATCCTACCCGTGCAATATTTCGTCTTTGATGCCATCTTGGACGTGTTCTGCAGATACGGTGACTCGGTGAGCACTTCTCAGGAAATTGGCTGACGAAGAATCCGGCGACGCAATAGCTTATTACTTACCTGCATGAGAAGGTAGCTCTTGCCGTCGCCGGAGTTCTTGATGACCTTGAAGCTCTGGCCGTAGTATATCCGAAACATCGTGGCGTCCTCCACCCTGGACACCGGCCCGGTGGCCACAGGCGCCGGCGCCGGCGCGGCCGCTAAAGCGAGCGCACATGGCGAGAGCGCCGCCCAGAGCAGCACCGCCGCATGCAGGCAGCAGCGGCTACGAGCAGCGGTCATCGCCCTCGATGCGCGGCTCACGAGCTCTTCCCAGCTCGTGAAGAACTGTGATGGCTTGGCCCCTGATGGGAAGAGAAGGGAAAGGGAGTGAGTGATATGAAGAAGAGCCCGTGAGCATGTACTCGGCCGTGACAAAGACATTGGGAAGGTCTTCTTGTCACGGCGCGGAATTGGTAGGATTCCTGTGACTGCGAATCGACTGGATTCGTGAATCGGCGAGGCAATGCATGTGCTGCGTGCTGGCGCATTGCGGTGCTGCGGCTTTCAGCCTCTAGCTTTTGACCTTGCTCGCTCCTTCCATTTCCTGAATAATGTACACCTCAAGAAAAAAGAAACATAATGTAAATGTATGACGTTAAGTGGCGTGTTTGGATATACTCGTATTTAGATTAATCTATGTATGTTGGAATGGATTGAGGTGCAAATTTGTAAGATGTGTGGTTATTTCTCCCCCCCCCCCCCCCCCCCCCCCCACACACACACTCGATTCGAAGGGGGGGGGGGGGGACACTCCCTCTACTCAATAAAAGAAGGCGTTCAATCTTAAACGTCTTCATTTTTTTTTAGATTTACACAGTACAACATAGACACCCAACACGCACGAGAGAGTAGTATTATTGAATGTATCTCACAATTCTTTAATCATACATATAATATAATTTGTAGGTTTACATTAACATTTTCTGTAAAAAAGTAGCATAACAATTTTATGTCGAAGTTCTTGTCCATATCCAAACTGTTATATAATCAAGTATGAACTTATTCATTTGCGAGCAGAAAAAAAAAAAACAAAAGAAACAAAAGGGTACAAAAATTTGTGGAGAAAACGTGGGTATCACAAATTCACAAGTCACAAACTTAACACTCAAGAGTCCACGGCCAATTCTTTCACCTTTCATTCGGTCGATGACTTGATGGTGGAGGCCATGGCAGTAGTGTATATAACGGTCAGAAACTTGCAAATGATATTGGATGCAACAATAGTAATGTCCATGTTTGAAATTGATGCTATATATGGAAAGTGTAAGGGTGTGTTTGGCAGCGAGAAACGTTTATCTCAAAAACAGTAAGAATCGTTTCTCTGGTTAGAAGCTAGAATCACCCGAATTCTCATAATTTCTTTCTCATTTACTCTTCGAGATTCTAAATCCAGGCAATCTAGATCTGAAACGTTTCTTGGAAAATCTAGTTCTCTACCAATGCGTGGTATATACATGGCAAGATCAGGAATGGAACAAAAGCAGCAACGTTCATGGAGTAATAAGAGATAAATAAAATAAAATAAAATAAAAGCCCATTTTTTGAACTATTACTAGAGTATGGTTTTGGTAATTGAACTCAGAAACAATATATCTTTGACTACTAAACTATAAAAAGCAAACAAATTATACCAAAAAAAACTGGACAAATTAGTTTAGCCCTTTAGATGGTTTCAAAAGTGGGATTTTCCTTTATATGTATTTTCTAAAAAAATAAAAAATTGGTAACTAATTCATTTTCAATTAGAAAAAAAATCAAAAGCAGTATCAACATTTTCCCACAAACGTACTCTATCAGTCAATTATTTATTCCCTTTTCTAATATTTTCTTCTTATCTTGCTCGTTACTTACTTTAACTCTCGTTTTTTATGGTATATATAGTAGACAAGGGAGCAATACCGAGTATATGGAAGATCTCGAAGATAACACCAACCTTGTAGGTGTCGTGCTCCACCACATAAAGATCTTATTTAAGCACCTAACTAGCGCTTTTACCTTTTTTGCTTGAATAGGTAATACTAGGACGGTACGCGCGCGCAGCTACTGGTGGTTTGCTGTGTACACCCATGAGAACGACACTGTCTGTCGGTTTTACCATTATAGAAATGAACGGAAAGCACACAACAGGTGGTCACAATAGAATTGCCATAGGATGGTCCCTGCAGGTAGACAGATCATTCAGTGATAGCTTCAGAAAATTCCAAGATAGCATGGTTTGTAGTTAATCTATATACGCAGTGTGTTTTCAATGGTCGGATAAACAGAGTCCATCTAACTTAAAAGGAACAGAGTCTGAATCCATAGACAGAGACATACTGGATAGTTCTTTTGGACATGCTGAATGACTTTCTGCAAAACAAAAGCAACACGATGATTTGCCTATTGAACCTTCATTCCTTCAGTGTAAGAATGAATGCAGGAGGCAGTCTTCATTTAGTTGCTGGACTGCAAGTATGAATATTCCCCAAAAAAAAATACTGCAAGTATGAATAAAAGGCATGCTGTTGTGAGATCAAAGGAAGATGTGTTCGGTGCAGTAGAAAAGGTAAACTGTAGCCTGATATGTCCATGGCAATCTTTATTATAGGCAATATGATATGGTTACAGTTTCTAAAATCATAGATGCTTTTAGGAACAATGGTCATGACAATGACAAAATATTACCATACGGTTTGGGTTCGTTTTAAGATTGATTGTGATTTGCAGATTCTATGTGTTGTATCCTGTGAAGGCAGCCCGCGGATGCTGCATGCGCCTATAACCGACTGACTGGTGTGACTGTGAATCTATGATCTGTGGTAGCGGTATGGTTGTGGTTGTCTGCATTGTATTTCTTTATTGAAATTCACAATGCAAAAGATGGTAACAAATGCCTCAAGTAAAATATGCATGAAAGAAGCTTATGACAAATTCAATAAAGCAAAACAATGACTAAGCGAGAAGATCATGGTCAAATACAGAAGTGGGAGGTGCAAGGAACTGCAAGCACTGATGAACGGCAAAGCGGTAAAAACAAAGGATCTCCCAAATCCCATTCACATAGTATACATCCCTACACTTTGTAGTTTTATTGCTTGTGCAAAGTACAGACACGGAGTGACAACAGTTAAAGATTGCTCACGAATGTGGGCAGAGTTCATTAGATTCAGATAATTCAAATGATGATAGAAGAACACATCACAAATTGTTCAGAGTAGGCAATCGACGACATGTTGCTGCACAGAGGCATCTGATCTGATGTTTACAAATCGCATAGAAAGATAAGACCTGTTGACTAGGCGGGGCTGAAGTTACCTGAGAATAATTCGCTGCTCTGATTCTGAACCCTCAAATTAGAAACTGCAAGCACGGAAGGAAAAAAAAAAGACGTCGAATCAGTTAAGATATATGCGCTGTGAGGGGGGAGGGGGGTGCCGTCGTCCTTGCCGGCGTGGAAGGCCATGGGAGGAGGCGACGACCTTGTCACCAGGTGTCTCAGTCAGAGTCCTCCTCCGCAGTTGCCTTCGCGCACTGCGCACCGTGACGGCAGACAAAGACAGCCCAGTGTGGTGGGGTGGCCGGTGGGCTGGGCTGCGATCACCTCTGGCAAGGGGCAGGGGCGAGCTGCAGCCCCCTAACCGAGAGCGGCGGTGCGTGGAACAGGGGTGAGCTCCCCCCGCGGGAGTGGCGGCGCGGGGCTGCGAGGAGCTTCCCCATCGAGGGTGGTGGCGCGCAGGCCCCTACGGTGAGCTCCCCCGCCCTGTCTCCCTCTTCTTACCCCTTTTGCCCATGGACGTGGTGGCGGGGGACGTGGCGGCGGCGGCGGGCATGGCGGCGGCCGCAGCGGCGTGGTGGTGGCGGCGGGCGTCGTGGTGGTGGCGGCCTGGTGGCGTGGGTTTTTTATATTTTCAAAAATTCTTTCTTGGCGTCGGTGTGTTGGTGAGGCTAAGAAAGTGGCGCTTGAGTCTTTGTTTTTTATATTTTCGAGTGTAAAAAGTCTTCTACCGAAAGTATTTTTGGGCTTCGCCATGTGCCCTGGACATACGGCAAAGCTCTTGATTTGGTAGTAGTTACCCATTTTCGGCAAAAGTGTTTTAGCCTCCGTGGTGTTTTAGACCTCGCGTGAAAAACGCCTCACGTGAACGCGTTTTGGGTCCAATGTCAATCTTAGGTCCTGTTTGGTAGGGCTTTACTTAAATAGTGAAAACATGTTTTTAGGGGCCTGGAGGAGGAGCTAGGGAAGCCACTTTTTTTTTTTTGGCTCCATCCCACCCCAAAAAATTGTGAGAGCATGTTTTTAAGGGCTTCACCAGTGAAGCTATTTGACTTTACCCCATTTGACAGAAAACGGCTCCAAACGGCTCTTGAAGCTGGTGGAGAAGCCCTGCCAAACGGTACCTTATTCTTCTCTAAGAGCGGGCCAGCAGCATGCGGCCACGGAGCGAGGTGTCTGGCCCAACATGGCCACTAGTGGCAGATCCAGGTTTAGCCTCGCATGAAGCCAAACCTTGCCACAATTTGCCACTCACAATTATTCAAGTTTGATCAAATTAGAAATTGTTTGGTTGTAGAGACAAACTCTGGCAAGATTCTTTTTCTACTAGCTCGAACCCATGTGTCAGTGACTATAAAAAATGTGGCAAGATTGTCCTAGGCTAGTCAAAATGCAATATGATGAACTAACCTTAGTCAAATTTGACAAGAAATTATGCCAAACGTTGGCATTCTTAGTATACTAAACTACTTATACAGATGGGTTGACATATCGATAAACTAGAGATATAAAAAGAAAATGCACATACTTGAACATCATTTTTTATGGTCCAATAATGAACTATATAAAAACATGAGAAAACATAAAGCGATACAAAATCAATGCATAATTGTTGGAAATTTGCTTCATATGAGGCCACCATGCATGTCCTTAGAGAGAGAAGTTAAATATGTAAAAAAAAAAAAGAGATACACAGTTAAATTACTTATTCATCATACATTGCTTATCGATATTCTAATGGTCCTCTTCATATAATGCTTGTATATGCTACATAAGAAAACGGCATCACATTGTGTGGACGATTACCGAACGGTTAAATGTGTACATACATGTATTTCAGAATTCATATCTAAATGAAAAAGTGTTGAACAGGCTCAGTACCAAGAGCAGAGAGGGACGGAGGAGTCAGCACTCAGCAGAGCTAGGGGCCGGAGTGCCGGGCCCGGACGGGCAGATGCCAAGGGAGGCTCACGGCCGGACAGGGCGTCAGGGCCAGAGGCCGGAGACTCGGAGGGCGGGAAACCTTTTTAGAATCGATTTCATATTTTATTATTTAAAATAAATTATTGAATTTATAGATATTAAACCAGTTTTTGTTATTTTTATAAAAGACATATATACAGATGAAACCATCTTTGGAACGAGGGCCAAATTTGTCAATTTTCGAAGTTGGTTGCCAAAGGATATTTGGATGTTTATTAGTACGATGGTTAAAATTGGACTCTGTGGCACATCAATAGTAAAAAATGAATTTCTTCCTCTATATAAAATAAAAGCGTGGGAGAGTTGAGTTCAGACTATTTTTCCAATCTAAGAGAAGCAAATGGCGCCGCTTATGATATATATCTAGAATTTGTGTTACGCATGAGATCGCTTTTTAATTGGGTCCATAAACCCTCAGACATTAGTAAGAATATTGGACGATATAGTATTTTTTTATAATCAATATAAAAAAGGCTTGATGCTTAAACACAGTAGTATACAGCTGGGCCTAGAGACGCCGCTGGATGAGACCATCTGTTCCAGGCCCATGTAAATTTGCAATGTACATCTAATCCAAACATGCCTGCCCCGTCCATCTCCCGTTTCCCCGCTTGCTCTCTCTCTCTCTCTCTCTCGGCGACGAGCCTGGGCGACCGCTGCTGCCGCCGCCGCCGCCGCGCCTAGCCCAGGTCTCCATCGGACGCTTCGCAAGGTGTTGTTCAGTCCCTTCGCCGGCGACGAGCAACACTAGGTACGTCCACGCCTCTTCCCTTCCTGCTGTGCGAAACCGAGCACCCAAACCCTAAACGTTTGTATTCGGATGAATCTTGTTGCATCTGCAATCCGCTTTTTCATGATTCATTGTTTTTTGCGTGATTCTTCTGTTAGATCAGGTGCATGATTTAGCAGCGGCAAATATGGAGTCGGCAAAAGGTTACTCCCTCTTTAATGATTAGTTATGAGGTTGTTTGGTTGGACGATTTGAGCCCGTCACCGTTTCACAGTGTGAATGGATTGCGTTGATTGCCGTTCGGACTTACCGGCCCGTAAATAGATGGCAGCGTGAATGGATACAGCGTAGTATATGTATATCTCCGTTACCGCTCCTCTCAGCGCTATTGGCTCCGTTCCCGGAGTCAGCTCCGCTGCCCCGTCGTCACCCCGGTGTGCACGTCCAACCAAACAAATCGTGTTAACCCTTGCCTTGTAACAGTTGGCGCTGGTTTCAGTTCCAAATTACGTTGCCGTTGCCTGCGCCGAAACAAACAGCACCTAAGATTTAGCGTATAGCTCTTGAGATAGGGACAGATAGAAATAAATTTGAGGAGAGGCCGGTGCACGAGAGATGGAATAGACGACGAAATCGGAGAGATCTAATTGGATTAGGATTCCTAGTTATATAAAGAGAAGGGCTATAGGCGGTTTTCCACATTCACAAAGTTAGTTAAGGGATGGCCGGACCAAAAAATAGGTGGAGAGAAATTTTGCCTCTTTATTATTAGGTATAGATAACTTGTGTCAGCATGACTAAATCATTCATCTTTCTGAACCTGATTCACCAACATTTAAGTTTAAGGAAATGTTTTTTGGTTGTTACTGAAAATTATTTTAGGGGCGTACCCAGTGCAGAGAGCTCCCGCTCTGTGCGGGGTCTGGGGAAGGGTGTCAGTGGCAAGCCTTACCCTCGTCTGTGCAATGCTAGGAGTATTTTAACATAGGCAAATAGAAAAACACAGAGATTAGCATGAGTTGGGTACTTTGCAGCGCCTTCTCAGTTTGATTATGTATTGGGTTTAGTTGTAGAAACTTGCTCTCTTACAGTTATGCAGTTATATTTTTGCTGCAGCTTGGCAGAGCAAACATTTTCAAATTTTTATGTGTTCGCTTACGAATTTGTAGCTGCATATGTTTTGTTATATCACCAAATGAGATAACCTTACCTGACTTTTGGATTATAAATATTTTTTTCATAGCACTCTTTTGATTTCAGTGATTTGATCCTGCATTGTGGGATGCTTGCCAAAGGGAGGAAGGTAGCTGGAAGGGGTGAAGAAATGTCTGCACATTATGCATTTGGACCACAGGATGATGATGCAATTATTAAACACAGGCTTCTGACTAGGACGACGACCACCAGGGGTGAACCGCCACTAAAGAAGCTTCAGAAGAAGTTCATGTCCTTTGCCACTGAGATCGAGAAGGACACAGATAACGTAAGTGACTGCGAAAGACTGTACAAGGCCTTTCTACAGGAAATTAACACCTTTGAGCTACCTCTTCTGAAAAGCAAGGCTGTGGTTGATGCAAACATTAGGGAGAAGGAAAGCTTTAATGAGCTGCAGGTTGAGATTGAGCGACAGATCTTGCAAGCTAAGATTGATATTGAGGACCTTAAGAAGCAACTTGAGCAAAGCAAGATCGGGAGGCAGCACAAAGAAGAGTGTGAAGCCATCCGAAAGCTGATCTGTTTGCAGCCTCCGCGGTCAGAAACTGAAAAACTCATTGCAGATCTTGAGAATGAGATAGCTGATTTGGAGGCTGAGAATGTAGCATGCATAAGGACTCTGGAACTGAGGAAGAAGCAGTTTGCCCTTCTTCTACATGTGGTAAGTTCACGCGTAATGTATTTTTATTTCAGGTTGTGTTTTCATGTATATTATAGTGGCACATAGGAATAGAATGCTCAGTTAAAATAATATACTCATCTGTTCCTTCCTACTAAGTATATAGGAGAAAAATGTGTGGCTATCTACAACATCATTTTTTTGTTAAATCCACCATGAAATGTCTTTATAGTGCATTTATTTGGTATTTAGGTATTAATACTTTTTATATTGATTTAGGACAAAACTACAATGACCTTACATTTTGGAACACAGTGAGTACTAAATGTGATGCTTCATGAATTTCTGGTTCTGATATCTACAGCACAGATAATTTTGTTATATGAAGTAAAAATCAGATTAGGATTACGATTATATATGATTGATCTCTAAAATTTACATGAACGGCCACCTAACCTTGTGAACATTTAATTTTCGACTCAAGTGTCTTATTGGACCTTTTGACTGGCACATATAAATAGGAAGTGTACATTTATTCTTTGAAACCATAATAGGAACTATGCAGTTATTTTCTTTGAAACCATAATTCTCGTGCAGTTAACTTCTGCAGGAAACCTTCTTATATAGCATAATCAATTCAACCTTGTGGATTGATCTAGGAATGTCTGTTCATGTGGTGGTACCTTTTACAGGTTGAGGAATTGCAGATCTCAATTGAAGATGAGCAAAAGAGTATAGCAGATGAGCTGAGAGCTATCACCGTAGAGCAGAAGATGAGCATAGAAGAAGGGAGCATCGGTGCTTCAGATTCCATGGTTGTTGACTGATCAAGATCATTCACATATGTTGCAGACCTGCTTGCAAAAATCGATCACATGGTTTTTGGACAATATGGAATCCTAACGAGTTGGTGGGAGGTGTCTTTGCACCTCATGTAAATTTAGCTGTATGCTACTATGAATTGAAATTAAAGTACACATTGTTGTGCAACAAAGTCAGTTCTTACTATATGCACTGAATAATGCTGCACTGTCGTTCTGGTTGAAGTGGAATGACCTCGCACTCCTAGTAAGTTGAGTTGGTAGGAGATGTCTTTTGCGGTGTCTTTGTACCTCATGTAAATTGAGCTGTATGCTAGTATGAATTGAAATTGAAGTACACATTGTTGTGCAACAAAGTCAGTTCTTAATATGTTATGCTCTCCAACTTCCTACGTGCACTTTGCTGCACCGTCGTTCTGGTTGAACTGGAATGACCTCACACTCCTAGTAAGTTATAAGATTGATGAATCCATCTCTATCCATCTATGTAAGCCATGGCTTACAAGCCAAACCAGCCTAAACGAACATGACGATTATCTCTGCTATCTGTACCCAGTCAATAAGGCTGTATATTCCCCCACAACCCTCAAAGCTATAGTAGTTCCTGGCCATGTCTCAAGGTGCAAGGTGGCCACGGGGAGCCCCTGGCCGCTGCTGTAGTTCCATCGATCGAAGACACCCCTACCCCTGTAATCAACAGCACTGTGCCAGCCGCTGGTAGATGATTCCAATGGGGATGCTTAGAGTAGAGACAAACAATAGACCAACAGATCGATATTGATGAACCCAGCAAGTATACAATCCACCTCGTTTGGATGGTCAATGAGCTACCAAACTGTACACTGGAGGTATTGAAGAAGAAAAACAAGTGTTTTTTTTTGGTGCTCTAGAGTTCCTTATCCTTGTGCTGATATGCTCGATGCTGCGAATGCTCCACATTGATTGGACGAAATTTGAGGATCTTTTGAACGCTGGCGAGATGGTTCACCTCCTTTGAGGGGGCTTCCTTACTGCTGCTAGCTGGTTTGTCTGTGTTTTCTTCAGAAGGTGCCATCTCATCACTTGTAGGTTTTGGTTCAGCTTCTGATAACAAAAGGGGAGCAATCATTGAATGAATCTACTATAAAGAACTGCGTTATATCAAAAAATAAAGTTTTTCACACTGCTTGAATGAGTTTCCCAATGAACCTATGAGTTGAAATGATTATAGCATGACTGACAAAGCCAGCACATACTCATGAAAATTATATTCGCTGGTTCAATCATAACCTTGTGACAGGATTCGGGACCGAGTTTCATGTGCAAATGATGTCATCTCATATGAAATGAACATCTGAAATTCTCAGGAGACAGAAGTGGCATAATAACAATGCATCAGATTCTGGGAAATTTAACAAGCCATGAAGAAATATTTGTCAAACATAAGGGCGGCGAGGGAGGGTAGTTTCAGAGTTCCTTACCACTTTCAGAGAATAGATAGCAGGTGCCAACAGTTTCTTCATATTCTCCGATCTGTCATTAAACAAGGCATTAGCATTAGGATTAGCACGCTTGGTAAGCAGGTTAGAGCCTGAAACTCTAAAGTACGAATTGGGAATTTCAAAGTTTTTTTTCATTTTGTAAAGAAGAAAATCGCTAGAACAAAGAAAGGGATACAAATGCTTAACAGAATAAGTTGACGTCATCAGCAACAAAATAGCTAATCAGTAGTAAATGCATGCTTGGTACTTAAGGAATTATAAGAACTTATGGGCTCCAAATACATCTTGTTTCCATCTTGTCCTGTTACAGTATTCAACGGCACATGCTACAGTTATGACGAATATGTACTCTGTACTCTGTTAGTCACCAAGAAGTGAACTCAAACTAGTAATTGATTTTGATCTGGAAGACTGGCAATACAAGTAAATGAAGGTGTGTAAGACGATCTAAAGTTTGAAACTCAGTAAATTAGATAGTATGTTCATGAAAATGCAAAAACTTACTAGCACCCTGTGCAGCTAAGCACGAAGTACCTACAGGAGTACAAGACCTGCTACAGTCCACAACCCAAAGGCACACTACAGAGTACGGAAAACAATACCAGAACATGACTTACCATCTTCAGACTGTCACCTACTATCAAGGTAGGCGTCAATGTATCCAAACCCTGACAAACATGATTTTCACAACTTAGTAATAATCTAATGTAAAGGCAAATGAACAAAAAAAAATCCAGATATAGTTGCAAACTAAGTTATCAATGACCAAGTTAATCCCTTAGAGTAGTAGATCTGGAGAAAAACCAGCTTACAGAGAGTACGAACGGAGCACCTGGCGATATGTCTGAATAAAGACAATTGTCGAACTCTAGCAATACATACTCTTCTTCCTCCTCCTCTTCCTCTTCACCAATTTCCTTATCTTTCTCAAGTGCTTCTGACATCTTAAACTGCACGGCAAACAAGACTCTTAAGTCCTATTCAGCACACAGGAGACCAGGCCAACCTATGTTATATATGTCAGTACCGTACAAGTATTGTAGCCAATCTAGCGTTGATAGCAAGTTAGCAACTCAGTAAAATCTTCAACAATGTTCTCAGATTAGTATGCAATTTCCCAAAATATCATTTGCGATACAGTGGCAGATCCTGCGTATTAGTTTATGATAAATCGAAACTATTGCTAATTTTCATTTGCAATGAAACAGAAACAAACCAAAGCTAGATTGCAATGGAGCAATGAATGTACCTATCAAGACGGCAACAAATAAGAATATGACCCTAACTCATGTCGCTTGACCCAAGAATTTTGTAGCCAAGCACACAAAAAGGCTGCAAAAGTCCAAATTCCTGACCAGATTTAGTTTCAACCTATTCAGCACAACATTATATGACAAGTGACAAAATATTTAGCTACTATATGGCTTACAAAATCCCAAATTGCTACTGTATTAGTTGATTTCAATCGTAACATGAAACCAATGCCAAAACCCTTCGAAACTAACAGTAACAGCAAGACCATGTTTGTAGCAACAGGTGAGATACTAGCATAGAATGCTAACAACACTTCATCCTGAAAATCTACATCTGCGAATTTCATCGCACGCGACATGCGTGATTGAACCCAGCGTCTAAAAGCCCTCCTTACCTTCCTTCCGGTCGAGGAACTTGAGCAGGTGGAGCGGGACGCGGTCGTAGACGGGAACGAAGACGGCCTTGACGGCGCCCTCGACGTGGTCCACGCCCCGGCGGAGCGGCCCCGCGCTCTGCTTGGCGTACGCGTACGCCGCCGCCGCCACCGCCGCCGAGGAACTTGCGCGGCTCGTGACTGAACTGACTACTAGTTCGTGTGACGGTGAACTGAAGTGTGAGCCCAAATCAAGCCAGCCCAGTAGACTTTTTAGCCCGTTTCGACCCAACCCAAACCAGCCCAAGATGCCCATCCGGTTTGAGTCCAAACCATTCTCAGCTTTACCACCAGCAAGGCCCACAGGCCACAGTCATGAGTTAAAAAAAAAACTTTGGCACGTCTTCTAGAGGGCATTATCAATGGCTTCTATGGACTTTTTTTTAGAAAAGCACTACCAAACACTTACATGAGAAAACGGTTTGTGAAGTTAAAACTAAATAAAAAGTGATGAAGCCGAAGCCGTTTTGGCTTAGAAACCGAAGCCACAAAAATGTGAATTTAATTTTTTGGCTTCACTATTTTTTGAGAAGCCAAAGGCCTGCCTGCACAACATCCTACCTGCATACACAATCTAGTTGCAGAGTGTCGTTGCAATAACCCACGAAGAGTCTGTTGCGATCGTTGCAATAAGCCATCTGAGAGCATTGGGATTTCTCCAAGCCATAGCTTATCACCAACAGTAGTTGTTCATGACGTGTTCCTGTTTTTTAGCTAAGAAAAAAAAACTAGACGATAGGAGAAGACTCCCCTGTGCCTTTGAAAATCGACAATGTTCTCGTGAGGATGTCCGGATGGACGGACACAGCTTCCCACTCGCTACCGTGCCGTCCGCTCGCTCCCATCCGCGCCCCCTTCTAATTGAAAAAAACTATCTACCCAGGGGTGCTCGCCCCGCAGGGGCTCGCCACTAGCCAGGGGTGGTCGTCCGACAAGGGTGCTCGCGTAGGGTGCGGTAGCAGAGTGCTTGTCACGTAGGCTGATGTGGTCTCACGTAGGTGCTCACCTAGGGTCGTGCAGTGCTCACCACTCCGCTGGGGGACCGGCGTGCTCCGTGCGCTGCCGCTGACCTCCGCGCCGGTGTCGAGCTCCGCAACGACTAGCATCCATTCGTCCAAGTAGCTAGGTGACATTGCGCTAAAAGCGCATGTTGCAAGCTTCTGTTTCAAGTGTTTCAGATGTTTCATCTGGATGTTGCAAAAATATATCGAGATATTGCATATGTTGCAATGGCTATACACGTATGTTGCAAGTGTATGTTTCAAATGTTTTAGCTATTTCAGATATATGTTGTAAGTATTTTATCTGAATGTCGCATATGTTACAGTGCCTACACATATGTTGGAAGCGTATGTTCTAAATATTTTATTTATTTTAGACGTATGTGGTACGAGTGTTTCACGATACGCGGGAAGCAGGGCGCAGGCGGTCCCCGTGGAGCGACGTAGGCGGGCGAGCATGCCAGCAGCCGTAGGCGTCGGTTCAGACGCTAGCCACGCCATTTGAAAATAAGAAGGTGTCAGGCTTCGATCCCGGGTCGGACGGGAGAGTCCCAGTGCTCACTGCTCAGTCACACCGCGAGAAGCTTGGCCTGACTTTTTGCTAAGAGACTCGGTAAACAGTTTGTAGTACGATGAACAAGATACACAAGACTAGGTAACAAGCACCAGCCACGAAGAGTTACACTAAATATATAACATCACGCATGGATAAATTAAACATGTGTATTTGCACTTACAATTCATGAACAATGTTTTGATGTACAACAGGGGTTAGACTTCAGACGTGTTAATACACGGACAAATAAAAAATAAATACGGATTATTACATTTCTCCAGTTATACACCAGTTAACTGACTGATGCACGAAAGACTATGCATCTCCATGCACCAGCAGGCACCCGATATGAGTTTCCTAGTAGCATAATACGAGCCGTACTTTTTACATGAGTCATGATCAGAAAGACCTTTCAGTGATTGCACCCTGGAGTGCGGATGGCCAATGCGGATGTCAGAAATGCCCATTTCCCACTAAAAAACATGCTGGAAATGCCTTTGCTCCTCTTGGAGAGTGGAAGAAGCCACGCATGGCTTCCATCACAACCGGGCCCCGGTTTCATCACCTTCTTCGCCTTCTTGACCAACTCTTGCTCGGTAGACATCGTCGTGGGGCCTGTGACTTCAGTTGGTGTTAAGAGGAGCGACGACACTATCTGCAGCAGCTCACCCACTGCCGCTGTTTCTTTGCTGCCTAAGGACCTTTGGTATGATGATGAAGGCAGCTTCTTCACCAGGAATTTGTCCCTGATGAGCGCCTTCAACTTGCTAAAAATGGAAATGCTGCTGCCACTAACTTTGGTTGTCACACTAATGGGGAAATGGAACTTCTCGATCGCCTTGCTGACGTCGCTTGCTACGGGATTCAGGTGGAAGCTGACCTTCTTCGATGGCTCAACGTGGTGGAAGAATGTCTTCGGTGCACCGACCGTTGAGACGAAGAGCCCATGCTTGACGTCAACCTTCTCGTAGAGGTCGAAAGATGCATTAGGGTTGACGTCGTCACTGAACCCAATAGCAAAGTCGTCAGGTTGAGATTGCGAGAAGATGGGTGCAGTGTCTAGGCCGCCGGCGTTAGTGGGATCGGTCAGGTGACCGGCTTCTCCTGCAATCTAGCTCTGAGTTAGTGTATGAATGAAGCATGAAGGTATGTGTTACAGACTTACAATGCCCTATATATCTAAGATTTTGAACTGCTTCAAGTAGAAAGCATGAATGTTGCACCCAAAAATTTACATACCTGAATTGTCAGCAGTGTCTGATATGGGGTATTGTGTGATGCAGACTGTTGGACTGCTTTCATCTCCTTCTACAACAATCTGCGTCATCAGAAAAATCATCTCATATTAATAACACGAGAAGGTGAGAGGTTATGTGTACAAGCATCACATCCACAATTCTCATGAAGTCGATTAACTTTTTTTTTTATAAGTGTCGATTAACTAATTACCTCTCCTAGGTCATTGTTGTGCAGCCTCACTCCTCTAAGGTTCTCTACTTGCCTCTTCTCTTCCTTGAACTCCTCCATGTCAGCGATCTCAACCAACCTAACCGGTTCATCGACATGGACCGGCTTCGACGATGCGAGTCCTGCAGATGTGCCAATGCAGCCCATATGGTAGAAATTGTCTGCCTCCTCTTTAGCCTTCACCCCAAGCTCAACGAGGGAAGATAGTTCGTTGATGTAGTGGGTGCTGGTGCTGCTTGTGCCAGCGCCTGGCCACATTTCTGCAGCGTAGCTGCTGCTGGAGCCGTTGATTAGCTCCTGGGAGGCCGACGCCACGGAGAGGAACTCTTGAAGGATGTCAACCTCGTTGGGGTTGCTGCGGAGCACGCTCGTCTTTGTGTCGAGGCTGACGTCCTGTGGGAAGTCCTCCACCTCCAGGGGAGGTAATGAGAGCCTGTGCTGAAGCCTTGCACACTCCAGTGCAACATCCACCTAAGCCGTAGATAATATATGATTTGCACGTGTAAGCACTTCAGTGTTCTTTGCCTCAATTACTGTGCTGAAAATACTAGCATTCTTTGTATACCTTGGATGGGAGGCATGAGAAGCTGGAAGAAGCAGGGTTCATGAAGAAAGGATTGGTGGCGTTAAAGGCGTCTTCGCTCAGGAACTGCATCCATTTGCCATCCTCGTGAGGTGCACTCATCTGCATCCCGAACCCACCATACATGGAGTCCATTGGCGCCTCTGTCGGGAATGAGAAACTGCTGCTCTCGAAGTCATCACCTCTAACATCACTGGACAAGTCCAGCGTTGGGGAGCGGTCAACACTGCTTGCCATCCACTGAGGTTGCTCAATGGGGTGGTGCACTGCGCCATAATGCTCAATGATTTTTGGCCCAGGCGCTGTCTTCTTAAACACTCGGCATAATGCATACGCGTCCTGTGAACAGAAATTCAAGCAGTTCATATATGTCAGAGAAGCCTAGAAGCTATATCAGTCACCCAGCAGTGTGATGTTTCGTACTAGCTGCATGGTTTAGGGTTTCAGGAAAATAAGGGGTTAACAACAATTGTGTAACGTTACATATGAGTAGTTCATGGTTCCCAAACTACACTACATAAATAGATTTACTCATCGGTAGCAAAGTCGCACCTGTAAGCCAGTGTCAGTCTCGCATTCCCTCTCGTCGAGGCGGTACTCGTGCATGACCCAATCAGTGCGAGAACCATGTGGAGCTCGGCCCCGATAGTACACCAAGGTCTTCTTCACACCAACTGCACGCCTGTGCGAGTTCACCTTTCTGTCCTTCCCAGTTGCCTTCCAGTACCCAGATTTTGTTGCACGGTTTGTCCTTGATCCATTTGGGTACTTGCGGTCTCGAGGGCTGAAGAAATACCATTCAAGGTCTTTGCTTGGAAGAAATGATTTTTCTGAACATTTAATAAAGAGAGATGTCAGACGATATACAAAAATATACTGCATAGATGCTAAAATTTATTTGCATAGGTATGTGATAATCATTATATATTAGAATTCAAAGATTAGCCAAGATATAGACTACCAGAGAATTAGACCAAGATCACTTTATATCTTGGAGGCTGTGCACTTTATTTCATCTGCTTGACTTATGTTCATCTCAAGTCCCTTTCTAATTTCTTGCTTTATTTTGCCACTTAAAGAAGATAAAAGAATCATCTTTATTTTATCTTTTCATTCAATGTATTTACGTCATTCATTTCATACAATGCTATAGGTAATTTTTAGTAGGGAATAAAAACCGGAAATCTTGAAAGCCAACAAATGGATAAAGAGAATATATCTTTTCTTGAAATCTATGTGAGACTGACATGGCCCAAAATATATAAGCTTTAGCTTTGTTGTTACTGGGATAAAGGATTTCCTTTCCTTTTCAAGCAGCCCAATGCATGAGCATAGATAGTATATCTACACGATCACCTTTACACTTGGCAGAATTTTGCCATGCCTTACGGTTCTTTTCAGCCAAAGAGAGCAAGATCTATCTATATTCCTACAATCCTACTTTCGGTGTGCATGAAACGTTTAAAGAAAACAAATTTCGTAATATGGTTAATCTCAGTTTTATCTCAAAGTTAGTATGGAAAATATGACTTTTATAAACATGCCCCTTTCTATAATTACAAGAAGGACAGAAACAGTGCCTGATATGTTTCGATCAAATAGAAATTGGAATTCAAATACAGAATAAAATAAATACATATAAAGAAAGTGCTAAATACATAAAGCCATCGTATATAATAAACTGCAATTTGCAAGAGCTAGTGATGCCTGTCAAGTATAGTATAGGTCGGTGAAGTGCCCACCAAGAAGGGAACATGAGCCTATTCTTTCCTCAAGAGCAAGGATTGCAGTTGTGGTTGAGCAATAGTCTAAGGATTGAATAAGATTGCTTATTGTGTGTGCACAACATGGTATCCAATACAAATATTTGAAGCTATATATATATGTGTGTGCTTTCCTTGTAGGGAAATAAAAGGTGTAAGATGTTAAAATCCTATTGCATGCAAAATTGCAAATACATTAATTAACAATAGAATCAAAACTTAGGAGGAAGGTGTTCCATAACTACTTCTTAGGAATGCTTACGCACTCTGGCCGATAATATATCAAGCAAACAATGATGATAACTAATTCATAATGCCAAATTTGTTCATCAAGAGTCAATATGAACAGCGAGATCAATCCAAGAATGGATATGCACATACCTGGCAAATCCCAGGGCTCACACTTGTAAAGATCAACCTCTGGAATGATTTCGAGCTCTATCTGTCTCCCATTGATCTTCCTCTTAAGGTAGTAGATGATGAGTTCCTCGTCAGTGGGGTGGAACCTGAAACCAGGAGGCAAACTGACTGGCGCCATTGCTCCCTCTGCCCTTCCTCTCAAAATTCTCACAGCAAAAGGTGCTTGGAGCTTTGCAGTCGCCTGGCAGCAATGCTATCCGAAGCAAAAATTGTGGACAGCCAGCCAAGCCTGCTCAACTAGCTCTATATGAATGAATGATCAGCTACAAATAATGTACACAACCTGCTGAAACAAGAAATAACAGAAAAGCGTAAGTTGCAGAAAATTAACCAAGATCGTCGATCACGTATGTAACTAAGAGGTGCAGTAGAGAGGATAGGAGGAAGAGGAGGACGAGACCTCAGACCTTGGCTAATGGCAGACGCATGAGGAAGGAGAGAGGGAGGGAGGGAAAGGAGGAGGGGAGGGGCTGTGTCTTTATAGCAAAGCTTGGGAGATTATTTTATGCTGGGATTCTTGTCATCTTTCACATGAAGCTGTATTACCTCTCTCTATGTCCCCTCTCTCAAACTTTGGCTTTTGCTTTTGTTGTGTCCTGTGTCAGTAGCTTTATATCGGTGGATAGAAATATCCCAATCTTCTCTTCTTGTCTTTGGCAGCCAAAGCGAGCTGGTGTAGCCGCAGCACTGTGTAGCTAGGATGGCTATTGGCTGCTTTGTGGGCCACCCGAGCAATGCCTAGTCAGCTCCCGTTGGAAAGGGTGAGGGGCCCAAGGTTGGTACTCGATTCCCTCACCTTTTTTCCCGCGACTTCCCTTTGACGGTTTACGTCACGTTCACACACGAGCCCCCATGTAGATTTGCCGGGGGGGGCTGCATGCATGCCTCGATGCTTGTGCCTGCATCTGCATGATTAGCAGCTAATACATGTACTACTATACAGTCATTAACTGTCTCAACTGAGGAGCAACTGAGACTAGATCTTTTTCTGAAGCGGAGTGGCAACCAACCATGGGCTAAAGTATACTTGTTCTTCTGTCCCCCATGTTCATGCTAGAGGGTGCATATGTGCTGCTGAATTGCCATATGCTTACTGTTACTGATGGCTGCATGCATGCATGCCGGCAATAGCTCAGCTCACCTGCCCAAACAATGTCAAGAGACAAGTCAGTTGAGCCTGGTTCCAGACGAACTTATTACTAATACCAGCAGAATCTGAGTGATATATTTCGTATTTTGTCAAAGAGTTATACATTCTGATAGATCCAATGTATCTGCGTGTAAGAATGATACGTGTAACTCAAGCTACGACAGTTGTATCATTCATAAAAAGCTCTGACTGGAACTAGCTGGTTCACCAGTGAAATCTACTTTTCAGAAATCCAATCCTCGGTAGAAATAATAGCTGGTTCACCAGTGAAATCTACTTTCCAGAAAACTAGTTCAAGGAGCTGGGCCACCACTGAAATTTCAGTTGTTGCCAACACAACAGCACATGGACATGCCAACTCTGGATGCTCAGCTGTAGCAAAAGTGCAGTTAATTTCCATCAGATGCAAGTTTTGGGACAGACACAAATATATAGCGGCTTTTCTCAGCTTGCAACGCAATTCACATGAATACAAGCATGACAGTTTGACATGCATGCTCAGGTTCAGATAATTGTGTTGCTAACTCGGATTCAAAGTACCGGAACTACCGCCGACAGAAACCCAGCATCCGGAAAAAGATTGTGCTCACAGTCGTCCACGCTGGAAGGACGTACGCAAAAGGCTTCTGTTGGAGCTAGCGAGCAACCAGTTACTCCTGAAGGACCCCATTAATACAAAAAGGACTTCATTTCACATCACATTTTGGCAGTAAAATAGCATATCAAGAAATTAAACCACCGCCCCCTGCAGAAGTCGGCAGGAACCTAAGACTAATAATATCCATTTTCTTCAAAAGAGCAGAAAGCAAACTAGAAGGTCCAAATCAGAACATCGGAGCTGAATGAGACAGGTTGTGTTGTCCAACTGACGAGGGACTGAAACAGCCGATCTCATTGGTCGATGATCCAGTTTAACCTCCAGAAGCCCGTTCTCAGTATCCAATGAATGAGCCAGCCAATGAGCTAATGATGGCGACGATCCCTCAGCAGTCAGCAGCAAAACAAAAAGGAAAAGGTGGGTTATCCATCGAACCTACTGCGACGGCCAGACTTTCGACACGTTCCACTGCTAGGCCTACATGGCAAGTGCAGGGCTGGGTTCCGGGAGCTTTCGGGGCCCCCACAACTTGCGGCTGCTGATGCATAGCTTGTGGGCCACTTTTCCTTTTTATCAATCCATCCGCTCCAGCTTTAGGTTCCTTTCCCCTTTTCGAGTTTATGCTTCTCCCCACCCCCCACACAGCGGGTATCTCTAATACCATCTCAAGCTATTCTACTACATTGCTCCTCCTACCCCTAGCGTATTATGTACACATACATACCAGAAATACACATATGGAGTTTTGTGCCTATATTGCAATATAAATTGTCTAAGGAAAACTAAAAACAGCGGCGTGCAATTCTGAATAGATAACTTTATTATTGCACAACCAAATGGAATGAACCAGCATGATTGATGAGTATAAGTTATTACATTCAAAATGGCAATTCACTGGATTTTGAGAAAACTACTAATATATGTTATCTATTTGCTCGTTTATGTTAATCATGCTTAAGATTTGTGGCTATGATACAAAAGCTGGGTGAATATGGTGTGCAGTGTGAGAGAGATGGCAAGCAAGTCGGTCGATCCGACAGCCTAGAGTGAACAGGAAGAGCACACATGACGCAGGTAGTTTAAAATTTAAAAGCAATGTGTCTTAGTAACTCTTACCTAGCAATGATGGACTTAACAAAATGATAAAGTATGGTTAGCCAGCTCGATTCATAAGGAGACCCAGATCTCGCAACTTCACATCGCTTTTAAGGAATGCAGGAAGAAGAAAGGGAGAATTTAGCCCACCTGGACCCAGCAGATCAGCTCATGTATCTTCATAATGATGCCAAAGACAAAAATTACATACTGATCAGAGTAATCATTAAGGTCTAATCAGCATGCATGTGTTCAATTCAATTTGAAAAAATTACTTGACTCTCCTGTTTATTTTTGAACGATATCATTACTTTGCTTTAAGGTCTTGAACGATGAGCTTTAGTTCAAAAATGGAAATAATCCAAAACACTTCTTTCTATTTCCCTGAAGTTTTTCAGAGTTTGGACTAACCGCAGTCCGCCAGAACTAGTTTCGATAAAAGATGAACGCGTGCAATATACTAATGTGCTAAGGAATAATTCGTAGAACTTTGGAGGTGGTGTTGGGATCGGACCTTGAGTGCCCACATTGAAATCCAACAAGAGATGGGTGGCCTCTGCAAGCGGCAAGCAAAGTACTTCAACCTGGATACAAAATTAATTACAATGAAGATATACTGAGATATATTCCATTCAAAAGCATTTCAGAAAAGTTATTTAATCACAAAGGTTGCAGAACTGAATGCAGTGTCGGTTCTGATTATGGGAGAAGAGGAATCAAAAGAAAAGAAACGGCAACAGTTTAGCCGAAAGGATAGGCCACCCCTAGCCTCCCACTTTTGAAAGCCCAAAAGTCGGCCATTGTTCAAGTATCTTGGCTTCCACAGGGAATCAGATAGTACCCAAACAAGGAAAGAGATCTGAATACCTTGCACCAAATGGTGAAGCAATACGATACGGATAATATAACTTGGAAATAAAACTTTATATGTTTCCCGTGTAAACAGTTCTTGGTGTTCAACTGGGAAGGCATAAAGTTTCAGTTTCTCCTGTAGCAGTCCAAAACTCCAAATTCAGTTCCCACTAGTACCATTTTCTTGACTGGTACTGAACTGGTGATTAATAGCTGCAGGACCAATGTGTCCTGTAAAGTAAAGCAGTTTCAGCAACTTGCAAACAATTTATCTATGTCAATGTCAGTCACTGCATGAAGCTTCAATAGTTCGCTACTCTCTGATTAGCATGCTAAGTAAGTGTCATGGCATGTACATATTAAAGTTTTCAGTATGTGTATGTGTGCATGATGGTGCTGAGGGAAGTAAGAATTGGTCGAGCGTTTACTGAGGTAAAAAGAATAGTGTTCCATATAATTGTAATCCATTACTTCAACTTATATTGTCTTCAAATACTACCTCCGTTCTAAAAGGAATGTCATTCTAGGTTTGGACTAAGTCATACAAAAAATGGACTAAGTTTACAAAAAATATTATCAACATTTGCATCTCCAAATAGGTTTATTATAAAATTATATTCTATGATTAAACTAATAGTACTTTATTACACATCACAAATATTAATACATTTTCATACATATTTGGTTAAACTTGATATTTGTTGACATTCTTTTATTGGGGTGGCGGGAATATAAGGATTCATTGTCTGGTCGTCAAATCAGATCTGCTATTGCAACAGAAAACAGTACTGAAGCATTTCTCGGGAAAGGAAACGTACTTTAGACTGGAATACTGGATGACACTTCTAACACATATAGTTGTAAAACCCTTGATGCATAATGAAGGATGGTCAAAATTTTAGAGCAAACCCACTGTGAAAAGTAACTTAAGGATAAGTGAATTACTAGGCTGAAGCCAAGGCTCAACTACAATTTGGTCCATTAGGAAAAGGTAGCACTACCTTTCACCTGCTAACTTCAAAGAGTTGAGACTCAGACTGCTATCTTGACTCTTTACTACTGTTGAAAGCATAAACCTTGTGTTTATCTACCTATGATACTTATCTAGAGTAGTTGGTGGCTGTGTCAGCCATTATCTTTATCCTTATCTTGCTTTAGCATTTACTTTAGCATCTCTAGAATATGTTGTAGCCTTCTTAAGTTGCAAGCAAGCTACCCTAAATGTATCCCCAACCTGCCATAGTTGTGACAAGGCTAATGAAATAGAAATTCCAGCCCCAAACCTGTGATTTGGTTCTAACTGTCACTAGACCCGGTCAACAAAAAACTACTGTCACTAGGTACATACTACTGTCATGGGAGAAGTTACAGACAACTATAGCAGCTTAATGTGCAGGGTGCAGAACATCATCAGCTGTAAATG